TTTTTATATTTGATAGTTGACAACTTTGATTGGAGCAGTTTATTACTCTTGAAGATTTCTTGGTTATTTTCATTAATAGCGAGTTCTACGTGGAACAGCGGTAAGAGGCGATGACTATTTTTGTGATATTAATCACGCGCGTGACTGAAAAATAATTTTGGATCTTAAATAATATGCACCGCAGCACCACCTAAAGCGAACTTAACGTCTGCGCACGCATATTTATTATTAATTTTCAATATAAACATTTTTAAATATGGGAACGTTTGAAATATTTAATGTGTTACAATGTTCATCGAGTAGATTTTAGGTACTGACAACGCTATCTAGTTTACAATTTAACAGTTATTTTGATTTAAATTTATAATATTCCAATAGACTGCATTTGTAGATAAGTTTATTGAATTCAGTGAATAACAGTTTAGTTCATATTTAGATTTAGATGGTATTATTATGAAATCAATATTTATAGTTTTGGATAAACAATTTTACTCCATTACTACTATAGATCAATTTGGAAACAAAATATTTATGAAAACTAAATAATTATGGCTTGCAAACCAATAAAAAAAAGTCGAAAAAACGAAATCATTAAGCATTATACTTATTAATTGTTTGCAAGCTTGTTAAAGTATAAATTGAAACTAAAAAGTGAAACTTACATAATTTCTTAAACTTACACTCAATCTGTACAAACTTGTTTTTAATGTAGTGACGTCCTTTAAAACAAATGATTGAAGTAAATAATAATCAAAGATAAATTCACAATAATCGTTATATCTATTTGATTTAAAAAGGTTAATGTCATATTGTAGGTACTTCAAAGCCAGAAGAATAATAAATTAAATACTAACAAAAATGTACACATGTTCATCATATGTTATGATTTAAAATTGTACTAAAGCATTGTAAATTTAATAAGTAATGCGTTTAATAAGTAATTACCGAAATGTTATTTTGTAAAAGTTGGTTTTATGAATAAAATTAGTTAAACAGAAAATACATAAAATTAATTTATAGTTGATTAAATATTACTACGTTTGTAATATTCACAAATTAATGTGATATTTCGAAATAATTATGTATGATTAGATTATAATTACTATTGTCGGGAAAAATGGTGTACGCGTGCCATTAATTTGGGCTGATGGTCTTTTAAGTTGTTTTTTTAAAACTTTTTTTTTGTAACAGCCATTCAGCGTTATACCATTTAATGGTTCTTTAATCGTTGGTTCACCATAAGTCTATAGGTGAAAACCTTTTACTAGAACTGCATGTACCGAAATCGCTATAAATGGAAAACAAATTTTGTACGAAACGTAATGTAAAGGTCAAGGGAACAACGTTAAAATTATCATAATGTTGGTATAACTATTAGCAAAATATGAGAATAAAAAACTACAGCTCAACTCTTGTCAAAACCAGCAAACTTTTCGACATCTCTCACGCCCTAACGAAGCGTGGTATAATAGACATTTTTCGACATTACGTGTCTGCTACAGCTTTTTCATTACTGTGCACCCGCAACGGCCTACGCTTACCGAACGAATCTTTCCCCGAACACCGCTAACGTAACATTGCCGCCACGTCAATAACATAGATACTTCGTTATATATAACGTTATAACAGAAAAAAAAAATAAAAACAAACGAAATTAATAAACAATAAACGTATTTGTAACGTAAGAAAATTGCAAATAACGTTATTCGGAAAAACGTTTGTACTTTTTTTTTTACTTTGAACCCAACATAATTTTTTTTTAAAATTTTTTAATTATGAAAAATTCAAATTTGGCTAACTTGTGTTGACAATAATTTATATTTTCCGAATTATTTTATTGAAGGTTTATTTATAAATATTGAATTTATTACTTGATAAGAAAATAGATACCTATTCAAATAAATGTTCATTTATGTTCAATTTAATTGATACAAAATTGCGGGCATGTTACTTGGAGTATTATTTAAAGTCAGTAATTTCAAGTTGCTAGTCAGATGTAGATATTTTGTCGTGAATTGCAATAACCTTCTTTTCGTGTATAGTGTATATTAAATGTTTAAATACCTACTTTATAGTTTATTTTGAACAATATTTTTTTTTAGAATTGGCCAATAGATTATTTCATAATAGTAAAGTACCTATATTACACACTTATATTATTTAAAATCATTTAAAAACTTCATCTAAAATTATTATTATTATTATTATCTACGTTTCTTAGGTAACGTACTACGAAAAAGATTATAGAAATAATTATTGAGCATAAAATATGAACAGAACAATTTCAAATACCGTCCTATGCATGTATCTTGTGTATGATTTGTCAAGTAATAACTAATAATAAATTTACCTTTTTTCGCGATAAAATGTAGCTTAACCTTCCTCTAGGTCTAATTTGCCTCTGTATCAAGTTTCATTGCAATCGGATGAACGGTTTAGAAATGCATAATGGACATACAAACTTTTTTTGTCTTTTATATATTATATATATATATATATATATATATATATATATATAAAACGTTTAACAAAAAACGAAAAAATCAAATAACTTTTTAACGTATTATTAAGTTTAACATTAACACTGTATAACGTTTCAAAATACAATAATTAAACATTAAAATTGTACAACTTTTAAATACCCAAAAACGGAAAAACAATATTTTTTTTTAGAATTTAAGCCCTGATATTGAGAACATTAACTATGGAATATTTAGAACAGTAATTATTAAATATTTAAATTAAATATTACGTGGCAATTATTTATTCAAAATCAATTCTAATTACGATTCAAGTATTCACGCAATATACAAAATATTTTTTATAGTATTAAACTGGATTTCCTTTTCACTTTGTATAATTATTGATTAGTTATTTATTAATTATTTTCGTTTGTCGTTTTATTGTAAGTATTCACATTTGAAAAAATAATATGACTTGTATGTTTTAAATTATCATGTTGAAATAGTATTAGAATGGGACTCAATTATTTTTACTCCACCGGAGCCCAGGGCCATCCTGAAAGGAGTCATGGGGAGTATTATACCCCTTCCATGTGTTTTTCAGTCGGAACATTGACACCAAGTCGTTGCCGAGTCGGCACATTAGCCAAATCGACAATATTTAATTATTTATTGTTTGATTTTATAATTCCAGCAAATTGTTAATATTTTTCATATTAATATACAAAGAAAAACGAATGAATTTATATGTATATAAAGTTAATAAATCTCTCATATTATGTATTCTGATAATGTAATCACTTATATATTGAGGTTAGCGAGAAAAATATTTGAGTTGGCAAATTAATGAATTTAGTGAATGAGCCATGATTTTTTGACATCAAAATATAGAATAAGTACGAATAAATATAACGTACAATGTACGAAAATAACATGAATAAATTGTGACTATAATAATATACTTTGTTGTTGTTGATTTTATCTATAACATAATATAGCATGACAATAAGTTTAAAATATATACATTTAAATTAAAACAATCTGATATTATTTCTGTACAAAAACCAGAGTTGAGGATGAAGTTAATGATGAATGAGATGACGGGGAGGGGATGAGAATTGGAGAAAAGGATTACATCAAGAGAGTGTGTCTTAGGGAGAGAGGATAGTTTGAAAAATAGTGTTTCGGGAAATGTGCAAGAGAAGTACAGACGAAAAGAATGTGATGTACGCTGCATACGACTTCACAGGTATGGATTGTGATAATATTTCTATATAAACTGTTATAATTAAATATTGTTGTCAATTTCAAACTGCAAACAGTCATTGTCTATATAATATCTATATAATTTTATGATTATCAAGAAATTTTATTATGATTAGCAACAAATATCAGACATAAACCATATTTTACGAAATGTTCATTTATAGTTTTAAATAATATAAAAAAATAGAAACTAATGTCTTACGAGAATACATTTCAGATAACGTAATTCAAATCTAAGCAAACTCGTTTTTAAAATTGAGATGTTCATGTACTTAATATTGTTACGGACATACATAGATATAGGTCCTTACGACTTTTACTACATAGATAGGACCACATAAATCGTAATAGTAGATATCGGGAAATGACTATAAAAAATATAATAATCACAACAATAGAAAGGAACTATTAATTTAATCAGAAGGTAACACAAGCACATATTATATCGTATGGCTATAATCCAAAATGTGACATTAAAAATAACTATTACAGAAAGACATCAGTACGATATATTACGGAGATGTAGGTCCTTACTAATTATATGGTAGAGAAGACAATTAGTACATAATAATTAAAACATTATAGAAAGGCACCAGTATGATATATGCAAAATGCGGGATTCACGAGAACAACTGTTACATATAGGTAATCTTGGGTTGAGCGCACGAAACACAAGTGACATCAATCTAAATGCCAAGGTGAATCGCATAGGACGAGTGATTTAGTATTCACTAGGTCCGGGTCAACTATGAGAGGCGGGGTATATAAGGTCCCGAATAGATCAATATTCAGATGTGTTTAAGACGTGTTTTAGCGAGCTCCTCCACGCCAGTTTATTTGTTAATTTAATTAAATAATTTGTACTTAGAAATATTTCAATAAAAAGTTTAACTTAGTTTGAGTATTTTATTTGGAATATCCCTAAAGACATCATCACCTTTACGGTTGAACTGACCGCACGCAACAATATCTACTATTTTTTTTAGTTTAATTTCGTAAAAAAGATTTATAGCTTTTTTTTAAAAAAAAACGTGTTAAACATATATATTATGTTCCTCTTCTAAAAAACAAACATTTTATATAGTTAAAGATAACCCTTTATTTAAAAAAAGGAAGTATAAAATAAATAGAACGATCACATTTAAGAATTTATCTTTTTAAAAAATGTATTCGTAGTTAAATTATCATTTGAAACTTAATCTTAAGTTCGTTATCACTACTCTATAAACAGTAGGTAATTCACAAAATAATGATGCAAATGATAAAATAAAATAAAAATTAAAAATAAGATCATATTTTAGTTATAATAAATAATATGTTCTATAAATGTGAATATAATAAATAGAATCTATGGAATGAACATTTTTGTATCGAGGTGGCAGACCCCGGACTTTTATGAATGAAAAAAACGTTAAACTCTAATAATTTCAATTACAGATGCAAATAATAAAAACGTATCGACAACGTTGACGACATCCTCCGTGATACGATCCACGCACGTAGAACACGGTAATCGGTTGTTTCACGGCCAACTTATCTTAGATTTCCGTCGGACGGTCGACCGATCGGAGTGGTCAGCGGTGGTAACGACACTGCAAAGTCGGATTATGGAAAATAAAAAAAGATAACGTGAGAGGAGAGGAAGAGGGTAGTGAATGTGGATGATGAGATGAAGCGAGGTGGTATGAAAGAGAGAAGTTAAGAGATACGGTGGAGTGCAATATGTTAATTTCCCATCGGCGGCGTGTAGTACGCGTCGTAGTAGGTGGTGTCATATCCGTGGTTGATCATTTGCTGATCGATCCACAGCCGGAAATGCGACACGTCCACGTACACACCCGGAGTTTTCTCGCCGCAGCCGATTCCCCACGCAACGATGCCGGATTGATGGAACTGTTCTGGATGTTCCGGGGTGGGGCACACCAGAGGACTTCCGCCGTCGCCCTGAGTACACGTAATTTCGAAAAATTATAAACATATCTGTTTCGACACAAACTGGTTTTCTGTACGTTAACGACACGAGCAATCTTAGGCAACGTTCATTACAAACGGATCATTTTTTAGGAGTTCGGTATAGGTAATTATATTATTGCTTGCGTGTGAAGCGTACATGTGTATGCGTAATAAATGATCATTAGTGTTAGTGTGGGGCTTCCACTCTTCCTTGATCTTCCGCACGCGCACGTACAAGTCACCGACACCGCGTCGCTCGCGTGAACAATCCAGAACGTATGTCTTATTGTGCTAAAAGTATGTACTTTTTGTCAATCCTACCGTTCAACTTAGTAATAAGTAGCGATAAGATTTTTAAAAAATGATTTGAATTCGTTATTTTGTCTACATGAGATCAATCAATCCACATTTCAAGATTTTTAATTTTAACTTGGAACAATCAACATTTAAAATTTCGTAAATTTTTAAATATTCAAACCAATGTATTAAACTTTAGGGATTAAAATTTGAAAAATTGGTCTGATCAATCTAAAATACACATTATAAAGAATTTAAAACAGTTTTCGAAAGTCTTATCGCATTATTCAATCCATCGGTATGATTGACAAAAGATAGGTATGTTTTAGTTTAAATAATCGACCGTTTGCAATGCCCTTAGGTATATCAACGGACGCAGAGGTGCATATCCAAGAAATTCCATATGCAATGAGACGATCCAAAGGCGCTATCAGTTTTTTTTATTTTATTTTATTTTTTTTTTTTTTGAAAATCATTAAGTTAAATCGATAAAATTTGATCGTGAAAAAAATGAAAATCGTTTTTGGATCATATTTCATTGTGATATACGAGTACTCGGTGCGTTTATACGCATACTTACTTTACAGGCGTCTTTTCCCACTTCTCCGCCGGCACAAATAAAACTCTCGTGCAGTTGAAACTTTGGGCCCAACCGGGTTTGTCTCAATTGATCTTGGCAAATATCGTCTGGTACCATCTTCAAATCAATCCTTTTCAAAATAACTTGATGAACACCGTCTTTACCTATAAAATGGAACAATTAGGTACTGGTATAAAATAATACGAAATTTATGATAAACATAACATTAATATTTGCACTAATATTATTCTACTGTACAGTAATTCAATGAATAAATATTTTATATTTTGTAATTATTAGTCAAATATGTGCTAAATTATTCAATGTATTTTGAACATATTAATTTTAAAATATGCTGTAAATAAATTATATAAATAGGTATATAAAATTAACCTTAATAGTTTGGTAAATATTTACATAGTATAAAATAAATTCGATATTTTAGTTTCAACATGATGTTAAAATTAAGACTGATAAATAAATTCCCTGATCGAGAAAAATGTATAGCTAATGTAAAACGTGTTTTCATTTTAGTTCTTACATATATATGACCTATTTTAAGACGTGATTTACTACACTTTGGGATTATTCTTTGTCATACAAATGTAAGCAACACGTTTTTGTTATGTCAGTGAATTTAATAAATACCGGTATTTTATAACTAATGCGAAACGTGTTTGATAAATAAAAATATAATTATTCGCAGCCTGTCAGTTTAAAAAATAAATAAATCGAGTATGGACGTATTACAGTAAACTCGAAATGTTAACATCTGAAAATCCACATTTTATCATGCTTTACGTTTTTATTCAATCGCTTCGTAGGGACTTATATGCGATAGGTTACCAGTTGATCACACCTCACGTAGAAAATTTCTTGTATTTGCTCGTCAGCCATGAGTGTAAATCCTTCACTATATGTACGGAACACTTGACGTATTAAAAAAAAAAAAAAAAATGAAAATGTAAATGGAACAGAATATAAAGGTCGAGGAGTAAGGTTCACAAGTTTTCAGTTAACGAAATCCAAGAACATAAAACAAAAGCTTAACCTTACCGACAACGAGCATAATGTAGTAACTATGGTCTTGATAATGCTATACGAACATTGACCACGGTTACGTTTAATTCGTGTTGGTCTGAAATATAACCACATACCGCCAAAAAAAAAACACGTTTCCCATAAATACACCTATTTTGTGCTATGTTATTAATGAAGCGAGATTTCTATGTAATTAAAAATAAAAAATAAATAAATTGTAAGACATTAAAAATGAAATTACAAACGATATGAGAAATTATAGTCGATAATGTCCAATGTTATATACGCTCGCATACAAGGGAAGCAGAAAACGAACTCATCGGCGTCTCTCGTCAAACACGGTTCAACGTGTTGAATTGAATGAAACAATAAAGGTAGAAAATAATTTAAATTTATACTTGTAAGCTCGCTATTAATTTTTATGCAATTATAATATATAGGTAAATACATTATTAGTTATTAAACATTAATAATAACATTTATTTATAAATTTATGACAATATCAATTACTGAACATTTTTATTCAAGTTGTGATTTAAATTTATTTTGCAAATGTTATATTGTGTTTATACTTGGATGCAAAAAAAACAACAATTAATGGAGGTCCGAGGCCCGGTCCCACTACCCACCCTCCTAAATCCGGCCCTGCCCCCAACTACAGTGTTCGTTTTTATACAACGTCGTCGTATGTGCTTACCGAATATGTCTTTTCCCCAGCCGCTCACGTAACATTTCTCCCTGTTGAATTGAAAATTTCGGGGTGGCAAGCAAACGGTGCCCACGTTATCGGTGAGATGGAACGGCTCAGTCAGGAAAATCAACGCCACGTCGTTGTGAACCGCACCGCCGTAATACTTTTCGTGTTTTACAATTTTCGCAACACGACCGTCCTGGAACGGGAACAGTTCGTTTTCCGTTTGCGTATCCCATTCTCCGGCGCGTATAATAAGTTCGCCGGGTGTTTTGCTTTAATTAAAACAAATCCAAAAATAATATTTTATTATTGCGCAGCTACACGAAACTCGTGATTCGTGGTAGGCAGTGCTTGACTTGTGGGGGGACGCAGGGGGACGGCGTACCCCTTCTAATTTTTAGAAATTTGAGCCCCCCTACTATTATTATGTTATAATTATAACGCTTAACAAATTTTGGAGACACAATGTTTTTTAAGCAAACAGAGTCCCCTTTCTTTAATTTTTCCAAGTCGAGCACTGGCGGTAGGGTAGTTCAGCATTCAAAGAATTCTAGATTTACAACCGTGGTACAATGTAATATTTTTATTTATTCCGCTAGCTATTTTTTACAATATAAATATACGTTTAAGAGGCTCAGTGATTAAGACAGTACATCATAAGTAAATATAGTTTATAATATATTACTTTATTGGATCACAAAAAAAATAAAAAAAAATACTGTTTAAAAGTCTATATATGCTTAGGCGCTGAGTTGGAAATTTCGGCCGGAAAGTTGAAAATCGAAACCAGTCAGACAATAAATTCTTTTCAAATTTAATAGAAAAATATTATTCTCTCGTCTAATAAACATAATGAATAAATATTATTTAATTGCATTAAACATAATAATGAAATTTCCGGTGTAGTGGATAAATATATTGTATCAAAGTCACAGTGATTAGCCAATCAATCTTGTTCACTCATCCTTCGATAATACTCATTACTTACAATATCGTCTTTAGAAGAGTTTTTTTTACAGTTTTTTTAAATAGAACGTTTACATTAAAAAAAAAATTTGAGATAAAAGTGAATTAGTAAAAATCTACTCGGACCCACAAAACTGCATGTAGATTTGATTTTATCAAATATATAATATGAACATTTTCATAATATATTCCCAGAAAGTTTCAAATATTTGATCGCTGTAAGAATTTATAGGTTCAAATTGTGTTCAATTGTGTTCAAATTAAATACACTTATATCACATGATATTTTATGTTGGAACACTCATAAATTTAATGTTAGACAAAAACTTTACTCGTGTATGCAATGGACTGCGGTCATCACGACCTTTGGGTGAATCAATGATGCACCGCACAAGTAGGTAATTTTATTTGCGATATTATCCTGTCTCAGAATTGCTACCATCCACGGGAACTCGCCGAATTGTGCTTCACTTTGGTAATTTCCGGTTATTCTGAACCCAACTCCACCAGAGTTCCACTGGCCACAATTGAAAGCTTTGGGATTTTTCGACTCTTGAATCGGATTATTCGTAAGAGGATCAACGCAGCACTTTTCCAAGTAGTTATCACACGGTCCGCTGTTAAACCTACAGCAACAAAAAAAATTTAAGCTTCTAAAACAATATTTGGAATACTTTTTCAGTAGATAGTATTTAAAATGTGTATTCGAATTCTTAATGAGATTTACATCTTCTGAACAAAACGATTAATCGTCATGATTTTTTAAGTGTAACTGATTCATAGTATTCATTTCATCATAAAACAGGTTCAGTTCGAAAGTATACAGTAAAATTTTTACCTCCTGTCAAAATAATTACGGTACAAAATGTGTAACATACGATGTATATTTGTTATTTTCGTTTTATCTGTTTCGCGTTTAAAAAAGTAGTATCGGATGTTTTTTTTTTAAAAATTTTTTATAATACATAGAGACTTAAACTATTTTTATATATTTAATAACACTTACCTTATGTCAATTAAACCTGTACCATCTGTGTTGATTGTACTGTTGTTGCATCTGTAAAACGGTACACATGAACAATTGTCGGTGGTAGTAGATTGCGTCCCTGGCGGTGTTGGAAACACTTCCTGAATATGTTTATCGATGTCAGAGTCATCTCCGTTTTGTCCATTTACGACGGGCACTGTTACTTGAAATACTGTGACCCATAACAACACTGACAACTGCGAATAGAATAACGAAAGAAAAAATTATTTCCGATATCAACTCGATTCTAATTTAAGTGCAACGACGACTCTTTCAGAAATTGTGTTACTAGACTACGCTAACAGTATGAGATACTTTTGTACAGTATTTTCAAAGCTTAATTATTAACAATGGTAAATCATTAAATAACTTTAAAATTCTAATGAGAAAAAAAAATTATGATTTAACATTGTTATTTGAGGGAAAGGCAACTCATGCATTCGCTACAGTCAAGAATTTTGCTGTTCCAAAGTAGGCACATTATCAAAATATAAATACGTGTTTCATAAAGCCATTGACATGTTGTAAATCATAAAAATTAGAGGAATACTCTATGGATACTTCAGTGGTATAGACACAGGAGAAGGGGGTTCAACCCCCCATTACACATTATTTAGTTTAATACTTAGATTTTATAATAGTATTAGTTGTTTTTATTCTTATCACATTCACATATCGATTATCGATATAAATTAGGAAGCAAGACAAGAAAAATACAAATTTTGTTTTACGTTAAATACATTCAATGAGTTATTTTTTCCAACCATGAACCCCCCTCCCCATAAAAATTTCCTGTCTACTGGGATACTTATATATAAAGTACAAATCAGTGTATTTTTGAAATTTTTTGAAGTCCCACTCCTCTCACGGTAATCGGCACTTTGGTCAAATGAGCTACCGAATCGTCAATTTAATAAGAGCATGCCGATTACTCTACTTAAAATTGAAATAACGCCACTGATTTAACGTTACAATCAAGAGAACTATTATACTGTGATCATCTAATATTGACGATAATCATTGATACGCTTCTTTAATTATTGTAATCAATAAGTGTAAACGTTTTGTTTGCGTAACGATAATAAAATCAATAGTAGCCATTTTTTTTTTTAGACTATAACTGAAGTGTTGTTTATTTTTTTTAAAAAAAATTGAATACTTTATTATTAGATATTAATTTATTTATTCAGGTCAAAATATAATTTTCTAATAATTGCTTGATCGTAAAATCGAAGTACCTACATATTTAAACTGTCTAATGTACGAATAAGTATGCACGTTACTTATTTATTTTATTTGTATATACGGGCTGAACCCTCATACATTACATACCATCATACTATACATACATTGTATACGTTATACATTTTACATTATGTACATAACATATTTAAATTAAATGTAACGATACTACATTGTTCAATATTACATTATAACTTTTAATTAAATGTTTTAGTCCTTTGTTACTTTGTTTTGTGTAAATGTTTTCAAACCTATATTTAACACTCTTCTGCAGTATAGAATTGAAGTATTTTAAATTTTAGTTTATTTCCTAATTAAATATAATGCTATATAAATATTTTGAAGAACTGCCTACCCAACATACAGGAAATTTGTTGGTTACCATAACAAAAAAATTGGAAAAAACAGCATTGGACCAACATAAATATTTCATATTAGTTTAAGTATGTATGATGGCACTGTATTTTATAATTAAGTTCTGTACATAATTATATACATTTAATATGAAATATTTTTAGAAATAGAAAACACAATTAATTACTTATACCATTATATTTTGTTTTCCTGTACAGACGAGTATTTAATACATTGCTGTTAAAGTTATTTTTAATAATAATAATTTTTTTATTTGTTTAACCTACTAGTAACAATCACAAAAAAGTTTGAAACCGTTTTATTTTTAATGGGTCTTATATATTACTAGATTATTCCAACTATCTGAGTAATTAATATCGTAAGTCATTAACACAATTCTGGTTCAAATATTCAAACATACTATTATACAAATGAATATCATAAGAAACAAAACTTGTAATTTTTGGTATATTTTAAAATTTTCGGATTTAAATTTTCTTTACAGAAGCTTTACTACTCGTTAATTATAAAATATGTATTATAAAAAAATGCTTAAAATAAGATATACATATGTATAAACATAACAAAAGAAGAAGTCAACATTTTAACATCGGATAAGTATTAATTTTCATGGTCCATTAATATTATTTATTTTTTATAATGATGTATACTATAACGTCATAAAACTTCATAATCTAAGATCATTAAAAATATGTCACTCATAAACCCAATTAAATAAACATACCATATTATAACAATACATCTACAATGGAACTATATTTATAAACATTATAATTTTGACAGATATACTTGTATAAATACTTAATAACTATCATAGCAAAATATGTAAATAACAACAACATATTTTGTACCTATGTACCTTTTTAATAAAACAAAAACAACAGATATCACTCAAAAGAGTAGGATAGGTCAATGATACAAGTACGAACAATTTCAATTTCAGTTGTAGAAGTCAATCTCTACTGACCTATACAAAATAATACTAATAAAAGTAATAAATCTCTGTATAACCAGTGTTTATAATAATTATATGCAATTATTGCATTCGCGAGAGTTATTTTCTTTGATTACTTATTTAAGTTATTGATTTTATTATTTCACTAAAATAACTTTTTTATTGTGTATTCTATTGTGTATTAATCTGCTCTGTGGACTTTCATCCTTTGAATTCACTACAAGAAACGATCAACTTAACTCCATATACGCGAGTAAGTAATCACATAAAATATAAAAAAAGTTAGTTTATATACTATATAATGGTTTTAAGCAAATATGAGTTTATTATATAAAACCAGGTAAACAGCTTTTTTAAATAAACTGTGCTTACGATTTTAGATTATTAATTATTTGTAATTATTTTATTTATTAAAGTTTTAATATAACGATGACCAGAACCCAACTATGTTGTTCTAAAGTCCCGATTACAATTTAAGAAAGTCCTATAACATTTTAGTCTACATTTTATTACAAATTAATACAATTAATCGTAGAATTATTAACATTATTTTTGACTTAATATATATTATTGAACGGTGAGCTAATAAATTATACGGAGACGTTGATTAAATTTAAATAAAAACAAAAGTTTTTAAAGTTGTCAATAAATATGCACATTGATCCTTGAACATGTTACTTTTATATAATACATGGTAATAAAATATAATTGTTGATATTTAATACGCAGGTAAAAATAATGAGGTTTTTAGTTCTAATAATAAATATATAGATTAGATTAATACCTATTTAAAAACATGTATTTAATATCAGTACAATTTTCTTACACGCGTCACAGTTGCCTAATGTTCTAATTTGAATCTGTGTTAAAAATATACGTTTAATTTATTTCATGGAGCTTTTCAATTTCCGAAGAATTTACATATTTTTTAGTTTTTAATTAGACATCATAAAATGTTAAAAAATATGTTTAGTCTATTTAGTTTTTTTTTAAGCTACTACTGTAAATGAAAACAAATTGATCTGTAGTCTTAAAATGTATTTTCAACCATATTTTCTGCGTCTAATGAAACGTACGCGACGTCACATGGATTGTGATACTGTATTTATTTTTTACGAAATAATGACTTGAACGGAACTTTAAAAACGCTAACATTAAAAACAATTCTCATTTGATCATAAAGTATTTTCGTTATAATCGATATACTTATTTTTGACGAAAGTGTATACGATAAAATTTCATCAATTATTTATTATATTATGACAATACAATTGGGCTTGAATAACTTCTGATGAACCATTTTCACTGTTAGAATTGATGGAAACTCAAAAATAAATGATGGCAAGGTAATAATTACAAAGCACAGTGCGAAGGTAATATGCAACATATGTTATAATGCTTACTGCCTTCGCTATGGTGGCACTATGCATGCGATAACTCCGAGCTACAGGTGACGTCACATGTGTAAATACGTTCGATCCTTGTCACAGTAACGATGTTCAGAATTTTTTTTTCGAACTCCGACATTTTTATGCACATACATAATTGGTCAATAAATTATTATGTTTCAGGGTCTTTGACAGTTTCACATTATACGTAAAAAATATTATTATTTATTACTCGATGTATTTCTTCCGCGCGTCAAGGGATAATTTATTGCTTAGTGGGGTGATTTTGTGACGTGCTAATGTTATTGTGTAGCGATAAAAACCTTTTAACCGTAATCGGTATGCGAAATGATAAAAAATATTGTAACTCCAGGGACACAGACGAGCATTTACAAAAAGACGCGAATGTTTCTTACTACAGTTTCCAAATCCACTCCTACGACTATCTAGCACGGTACATTTTATTCGTCCGTCGCACGTGCGATCGATTTGACGTATGATTTGTCCGACCGTTGTTGGTCCAACAACGAAACAAACATTTCCGTAAATCGAGTCGGACAAATTTGATCGCGAAGAAACAAATCCCCGAAACGACGCACGTCAAGTGTTCCATTCGTGTGTACGCGTAGCGCACGGTCGTCAAAGTATGACGACGAACAATGAACAATCACGGAAATTCCCACACCTATGTGCACGACGTGCAATAAAATTGTTAACACTCACCGACAGTGTCGGAAGTTTTCGCATCGGTGGGTACAACAACATTTCGACGGTGAAGACTTCGATCGGCGCGCGCGACCGCAAACTGTAACAACATATTAATAGGTATATTAGGGCAATAGTGTTGTTGTTATTGTTGTAACGTTAATGCTAATACGTAGATACGGTACACGTAATTTATGTGTCCGACAACGTAATGAGATCTGTCTGTGTGTGTGTGTGTGTGTGTGCGTGTGTAAATTACTTAACGGGTAAAGTTCGGTGACTGAAAACGAGGCACGGGAATCGGCGGAAAAAAAAACGACGACGACGGTCAGTACGTCAGCGGTGTACACGATTGCACTGGTGGACGCGTCGACGACAGCTCCGGCGAAACGTTCTCCGTCCGCACCATCGCGTTGAAGACCCGTGCTCCGACGTGGTAGGGGTGCCCGACGCGTATTCGTTACTGGCCCGCGGCACGTGCACCCGTGAGAACGGGGTGGGAGACGTCGTAGTCGGGAGGTGTCGCGCGCGCACGGGACGCGATGCGAAACGAACGAGTTACGATTGAATTTGATTATATTCGCGATGACGGTGATGATGATTATAATAATAATGACGATGCGATAACAGGATTTTCAAAGGTCATCGATGAAAACGAATATAAATTACGCGTTCGCGTGCCCGGATAACCTCGGCGGCACACGACCAGGTGGCCGAGTCCGACGTGTGGCCCATCAATACGGGTAGGTACGGGTTCCGTGCGCTCGAACGCATCGGATATCTCATCGATCGAAACGTTCGTTGATTTATGAATATTTAATCAATTGCCAACAACCGTGCGGTGTACGCGACAAACGATATAAGTTACGATATTCGCCGTGTAAAATATATCATCCCCCTCTCTTATTCGTATTCTTTTTCGCGGTTGTACATCGATTTAAACCGGTTCCTTCCAGACCAATTCATAAACCAGGCCGCAAGTCATAAAACATCGACAATACGCCTTGGACGGATTGTCTCCGAAACGTTGTTTCAAGTTATGAGAAGTATAACACACGCACATACACATACATTCAATATACGTAGAACTGATAAGCGGAGGGAGGTTATTACGTCGATCCTGAAAAAACCTTTTTAAATTCGTTATTAACACGCTAGACGTGATGACGTGTAAACAAGGAAAACGTGCAAAAAAAAAACCTACATACTTATGTGTACAGATACACGTCACAATGGTTACGATACGAATTTGTAATAGGTATATGTTGTTATGCGAGTGTAACAAAACAACCCGAAATCTTAACTTCGACGAACCAATTCCAAAATTCCGATTGTTCTAATCGGTTTTCGAAACTCGCAACCATAATATAAGTAACAATGGTAACATTTTGTATGCTCAATACCCAATACAAATATTATTGTCATTAAAAGTATCCCAGCAATGTTGCGAAAGTAACTTTTTATATCCGACTCGATAACTCGAGTGCAATTTTATAACGCACCAGACCCGTGCGTAAAGAGGGGGGGGGGGTTCTAAACCCCTTCCCATTTAAAATCTTTTTTAAATATATTTTTAAAAGAAATATTTTCAGTCCTCATTCTATAAAAGATAAACTGACTAGAAAATTCATATGAAGTTGTCTATTTTTGTTTGAGCAGTGCCAATTTTTATCGACTTGACGCCTTTTTCTATTGAATTTTCGCGCATTCCCCGTGTAATGTCAATTATGGTCCTAAAAGCAGTCATCTATAGAACGCGTTTTCACTGACAAGTCAACTAAGACAAGAAATTCAGACATTTGTTGATTAGTTGATTTTCGATCCTGATATTTTTGATCATGGGTATCTCAACGAATATTTCTTTTAATGACTTCTTACCTAACATACCGTAAATAATTTTGAACCCCCTCCCACTTGGACGATTCCTGTGCACGGGTCTATTACGCACCAGTAAACATTGTGTATAAATACATCTAATTTAAAACAATCGCGTTCGGAAAAAAAGATTAATCTCTTTCAAAACCCAGACATTGGACCATAGTATAAGTAATTATTGAGTTGAAAAAAATGTCTTTACAAGTATAAAATTTGAATTCACACATTTCTCGTTTCTATTATTAATCACGCATTAATCATGCATTTAAAATGTATCATAATATCTATGGTATGGCATATTTGGGCCCGTATTATATGTATATAATTCCAATTGAATATCAAAGTACCTGTATACATGTATAGCACATTAAGTTATCACAAAGTTCAACTTAATACGGGTACCAATTATCAATTTATTTATTAGAATTTGCAAGCATATTCACGGAACCAGTAATTCACGAACGATCGTGAATATGGTATATAGCTTCGAATTTCGAGAATCCGGAAGTTGATGACTTTTATATTTTTTCTTTTTGAAATATCTTAGACACTTGGACGATATTTTTCGAGCTATAAGAATGTATCATAAACATTCGAATTTAATTTGCCTATTTTTATATGCACTCTTTAGTTTCTAATTTTTAGAAATTCAAGTAAATTTAGAAATTATACATTGGAAATGAAAAAAACCCTCATTTAAAATAAGTTTTGTTATAACACTTAACAGTGTAATAGATAAATAAATAATTTAAGCAATTTTTAGGGTGCTCATATAAGTTTTTGATACAATTATTTGTATCTTATGCCATAAATAGGTACCTACATTTATTTAAGGACTCAACAAGGTGTTAAAAATGTATTCATCAAATCACATTATTCAGTGTATTATTTTAAGAGTTAATTTTAAAATAATCCTTGCAAAATCCAGTTTTATTAAATTATTCAGTTCTCTAATTAATCAAAATTAGAGTCTAATTCATCTACTTTATCGGTTTATTTTATTCATTTACGAAGGCATTTAAAATATTTATTATAAAGTAAAACAAAATTTTACACATGATTTAGATTTAAAAAATAAAAGTTTATATTTTAAACACCAGATAAAAGTAATTTATTATTATTTTTTCTTTAAGTTATCATTTAATAGTTATTATAGTAAAAATAAGCTTATCTTCTGTATAATTAGTTTTTTACAATTCTAATAATAAAAATAAATAAATATTTTTGGAATTTTACAGCAAAATATATTTTTATTAAATTAAATAAATTCTTAAAAATTAGACAGCTTAAAATATTAGTTTTTTCATTTTTATAACGTACTTAAAATTATACAAGGTGAGCTTCAATCCAAATGCATGACCTTCTGGCTTAGTAAGCTACATACTTACCTTTTTAATAGATACTTTGCATAATTTCTTTAATATCAAAATATATATATAATATATATAATTTCAAATAAATATTTCATTTTTTTAATGGATTACAACGTTAAGATGTTATCTACATTAATGTGGAATTCACAAATTCAAGTAATGTAATAAATTAAAGTATCTTCAAGATGTAAAGATAAATTGTAGTCAAGAATCCTATTGATCTTAATGTCGAACTTACAGGTTATTCCACTTAAATGAGGTTAATAAACTCAAATCGTTTAAGTATTATTTTACCTACTTACATATTATTAGTAAGTAAGTATAAATTGTGTTGATAATTGTATTTATTTTATAATAAATATTATTATTTATATTTTATAATTATTATAATTGTGTTATATTGTGATTCAAATTTGAATATTATATACATAAATATATGTGGGGATAATAGTGCATAATACTTTTTATGCTATTTTACTTCCAAAAACGTGATTATTGAAAATTTCTAAGAAAATATAAATTTCCACGATTTACCCTGATTTAAAAATGATAAGTGTTATTTTATTTTATATATAAAGAAAACTTATTATTTATTACAGAAATGTATAAACATTACTAAAGTTTTAAAAGCAAATTGATTACAGAACTATATTTTACATGTGGTAATATTTCATAACTAGTTTTATACTTATTTTTGTTTTTTAGAATATAATAAAATATAATTTCTCTTATGTTAATTGAAATCGAAAACTATTTGACAGTTCATAAAAAATAATTTTTTTTTATAAATTTATATTCAAATGTGAAGGTTTTATGTTCAATAAAAAAAAAAAAAAAAAACACTATAGAGGCAAATAACCAAAAAGTAACTAGAAACGAAATTATACATATTTCATTATTGAATATTAGTTTTTTAACATTTTTAATACCTACTAAAAATATAATAAAAATTAAGATGAAATATATAGGTATTTTTAAATCATAAATTATATACGTGGTAGCACAACAACATCAATAATATGTAAACAACTACTAATGCTTTAATTATACTTACAAGATATATTCAAAGTGTGATTCATTCTAGTCCATATTATTTCACTAACGAGTAAACAACAAATAAAATGATTCTCTATTAATAAAAATGTATTATTTAAAAATAATTTCATTAATAGTGTATTTAATTATTTCTAGTTAAAGCATTTTCAAATCATCCCTAAACATGTTTCGATCAAACAAATTACACAAAACGATATCTAACTATCTAACTGGGCCAGGTTATTTATCAAATGTTTAAAAGTTACAAGTAAACTGTAATATGTTACTTAAGGGCTAAAAGGCAAAAAATTTGTAACAAAATTATTCATACTTAATAGGTACTTAATTCGCTATGAAGAAAATTTACGACTTAATAAAGTATGTAAATAAGTATAAAATTAGAACAAAATCAAGAAAAAAATAAAATATTGTGTGAAATATATCAATTAAGGCAAATATTATTTTAGTGCATAATATATCTTTGGTTATCTCACATTTTACAATACCGGTTATGAAAATTTCAAAAAACATTTAATGTTTTTTCATATTACGTTTCACTTGAATTTCAGGATATTGTGGTTTAAATTATTATTTTCTGTTGTACAGTCATCGTCACCTTACGTTAAAAAAAAACTAACTTATAAAACGATAAATTTGATAAAATTAGAAATTATTTTCATACACTATACATGTCGATATATCAACTATTTAGTTATCATGACTTCCCTGATTACTAAACCGATTTAATTCGCTATTAGCGATGGACCGATATCGTATATTTCACTGATTACTATCGATGGTTCGATGACATATTGGTATTTTTACAAATACTATGATTTTGTTGAAAATTAATATTTTTTGAACATTCAGAAATTTCAATGCATTTCTATTCGGTTGCAGTTAACAATCACATTAATCGATTTACCGATGACAAGCAGCTAGATAAATTTTACGTACACCTATATCAGTTATATTATTAAGTAACTTAATTTGTTGTTTGAAAATGTAACGAGACTTTTTTCTTTTATGTCACTCGGCGATGAAATAGTGAATATTTATAGATCACATATTGTAAACTATTTACAGTTTTAAATATTCTACAAGTGTTTAGAAAACCCATAGTATATTGTACTTGAACGAAACTACTCTTTGTGGTAATTATGCATCTCGTAAAGTGTACCTTTATAAATTAAATTATACCTTTGAGATGCCATATAATAATGAAATAAATTTTTAAACGTGAAGACCAAGGACACATCAAATTTATGACGTTAACATTCCGAAAATAATTTTCCCCCTTTCCTTGATAATAATTATGGACTTGTAGTCCAATAATACAAAACGAGTTTTTAAGTAATAGATACTTATTTCAAGGTTATTAGATTTCTGCTATGTTAAATCTAAATACGTTAAATGCTATCAGCCCGATAGCATGATTTATATATAATTATTAAAATTGCATACTGGCAAATCATTTTTGTACATAATTTGATGGCCAGTGATAGATAGTGGGGGGACGAAATCTTTTGTTATAGTCAACAGACCAAATAATGTTCGCAAACTAATCCGTAGTAAATCCTTAAATATTAAATTATTGATGTTTTTTTTTTTATATATATATACTTACAGTAAGTGACCAATAAGGATATCTTTCCGCATTGTATACAATAGCCTCTTAAATACATAACATAATATAAACAAAAATAGTTCATAAAATAATTCATTATTAGTAACTCAAACTATACAATTTCACTTAAAATTAGTAGACATTTTCCAAACAAGCAATTCAAAAATAAATTCTGACCAAAATGTTACCATATATTTTATGCAATATATGTCCTCATTGAATTTCTAATGTCTTTTCTAGTACATCATCAAATCGAATACTTAGAGTTTATATTCAACGATTTAACTGATTTTATGTGCACCGTAAATCAATGCGTAAACTATTGTCCTTTTTATATGTAATCATACATTGAAGTGATGCAAAACTGTTCCAAATATAAAGACTCCAAGATTTTAAATTAATTTGTTTTATATTATTATATCTCATTTCTAATCCATATATTACTCATTTCAAAAATATCTAAGAATAATTTTAAGCTCAAAAGCTTACTTAAAGTTGTAAACAAAATCCTTTAATCAAATTTCTCAAGTATATTTCCTCCACCAGACGAAATCGCTTGTTATTTTAAATAATAATTTTGGTATTAGAGATTTTTTTTTTGTATAATATTCAAGTATTGCAGTTAATAACATTTTCAGGATCTTATTTAGGTATTTTGAGGCTCTTAGAAAAATAAAAATGTGGCATTTTACGCTGATTTTCTTTTTTAAAAATATTTTATTTTAATAATATTCATTTAATAACATAAAAGTTGTATTTTAAAAATAAAAAAGGTCCATAAAAATCCAAGGCCCTTTAATAACAGTGGACATAGGCAGTTAGCTATCCTGCCTAATAGTAAATATAGTCCTGGTGACCTCTCGAATTAAGATGCATAAAAAAATTTATTTTTTTTGTCCAAACAATAATTATTTTTTGTATTTCTATTGTTTAAACTTTAAACACTCCAATAAAAATTAATTCATTTTTATATCTAGCATAAAATACGTATACATGCTATTCATTAATATTAATAATAACAATACATTTTTAAATATTAAAAATCTAAAATATTGTAAATATATCTATAACTTGTATAATAAAAAAATTCTAATGTTATTTTAAAGCGTTCCAATAAATATTATTTATTACAAATAATATTTCTAATTAATAATAAAATATAAAATTAATAACTGTTTTCGTGGTCGTAAAAACGTGATATTTTATATATTTGATCGTGACAATAATTCAACCTTCTTGTTAATCCATTGAGAATTGGCTAATACCGAAGAATACACTCCTGGTACGTTTTCGTCACCACATCCAATACCCCAAGAAACAATACCAACTTGAATGTATTTTTTACCATTGTATGAATCTTCTTTGGCAGCGCATACCAATGGTCCACCTCCGTCACCCTGCACAAAGAAACGAGTACATATATAGTCACTAAATATATAAGCTGCGAGCATTAGCTATAAACCATAGCAATACTTATACAACGTGCATGGAATTATCATTAACTGAATAAAACTGTTTCTCTTACATGACACACGTCTCGACCTTTTTCACCACCGGCGCATATGAAACTTTCGTGTAAACGGAAATGTTCACCAAGACGTGTTTTTCGTAATCTTTGCTGACAAACGTCATTCGGCACAAGGGATAGTTCTACTTTCTTGAGCACACTTTGACCGTATTTATCTATTGCAATACAAATAATGAATCAAATTTAGCCGATCAAAAATATCGCTGATCGTATTATAATGTTTTTTTTTTAAAAGTGCAACACAGACATTTTTTCCAATTTAAATGTCTTCCGAATTCGCCAATATATTTTATGTGCAAAAAATGATTGGTACGTACTCCCGGATTAATTATACGATATAATTATCAAATTTTCAGTGATTAAAATGTGACTATTAAACGAAATTGTTGAAAAAAAATTATGAAGATTTCACAAGACATTAAAGTTTATAAAGTGAATTGAAATGTTTTAATTTTTAACTGTTCATACTAACCGCCAAATTTATTTTTTCCCCACCCTGTTACTATACACGAATTAGGATCATATTTTGTTCTGGAGTCTGCAGGAATGCATATAGTATTGACATGTTCGCGTTTATCATACTCAGAATAGAGCTTGAGTAACGCAACGTCATCGGACATGGATCCGTTATTATGGTTTTGATGAACAACTATTTCCGAAACGCCAATGTTTTCTTCTTTGTCTCTAACTGCTGTGTCCCATACGCCAACTTTCACTTGTAATAAGTTTGGATTTATGCCTCTATGTTAGTGGGAAAAAAAAACAATTAAACGAACGTATCGCATCAAATATCAAGTATTTGACATAAATGGTAAAATTGAAGAATTCGAATTTTTTTTTAAATATTAAAATTTGTTAGTGTCTATGCGCATAGATTAAATATAATTGTATATTTGATATATGTTAGGCACTTTAGCGATTATATGATTCTTGGTTTCGTTTTAAATTATTGATTTGTTTTCATAGCCGTAGTGAAAAGTTATTTTTTTTTTTTTAAATTATAAAACGGTAACCAATTACTGAGTTTTGATTGACAATTTATTTTTATTTCGAAAAATAGTATATCTATATTCTCCGAGTTCATCATAAACAATTATCGTAATAGGAAGTTAAAAAAACAATTCCTCTAGATTATTTTAATGAAATAATGAATATTACCTTACATTTCAAAGTACAAATTGTTAATAATGGAATATGTTTTCATTTAAGTTACAAATTAAATTTATTAGGTAGGTGGTTATTTTTAAATTATGTATAATAATTCAACAATACGGCATTACACATATGCAATACGATTAAGACCAATAGTTATCAATTTAATTTTATCAAAAATCTGTATTCGTATAATATAATACACTGGTTGTTCGCGTAAATTGAATAGAAAAACACAATTGAAAAAAAGACAAGATATTTTGCCGTTTCTACCTGACACAGTGAGCGGCTGTCAAAACGATTCTTGGATGAATTAATGAACCACCACAGATAAACTCATTATCTCCGATTGACAAAACAGACGTCTTGTCGGAGTTTGTTTTTGAAATAATAACCATCCATGGAAATTGACCGAAGTACGTTTCTTGAAAAAATATTAGAAACATACAGTATTATAATCTAGGTTAAGTGAAAAAATTACAAAAATATAATTAATTATTAAATATACCATCACGTGATTTTCCGTTAAAATTTGATTCTGGAGATGATATACCAATACCACATTGATTATAATGGTGCATATTACCAACATCAGTAATTCCCGATATTACTTGATTCCAATTGCAACACACTTGGTTTTGACTACAAGAGCTAAGGACACAAAAAAATGTTTCATTATGATCTATGTGTATTAGTAAAACATTTTGATTCTGGATATTTTAAGCAAACAATGAATGCGACTTAAATATATATTATGGTATATCAATAGGTTTTTTTGGAAATCATCATACTTCAAATATTCGTTACTGCCAGAATCCGAGCATTGATTTTTCGACACACATGTACATTGTTGTTGATTAGTGTCCTGCTTCTGAGTAGTTGAATCAATTGAAGTATCCGTTATTTCAGATGATATCTCAATCGGAGCGTTTGAAACTGGTGATTCATTTTGTATTCGACAACATACAAAATTATCTTCGCAACCTGAAGAGGACCTGCGCGGATAAAAATTCTATACTACCTTAGTGCTATATTTTCAGAGCTTTTTTTTTTATTAAATATAAGTGTGTTTTTAAAAAACATAAGTCTTATTGAAAATATGAGACAATTTTTTTTTCCTAGCGAATATTTTGAATGGAAAAAGTTTGGAAACCGCTGATATAGTAAATGTACACACACACACACACACACCATATAATAGCTGTATAACCTACCCTGAAGGGATTATCACTGTGTCAGTCACTTCGCAAGAATAGAATATCACGCACTGGCACGACTGGCCGTTGATGGATATCACCGGGGAGTCACCGTTGGCAATCTGTGCGGCAGCGAACGGTCCGATTGCGAACCCTGCGACGACCACGACGATCGAAAGGATCGTTCTTAGATTTTGAGTGCGAAGACCGTACGCCATAGTGAAAGGAATATAGGATGGGATTGCAGGAACGTTGCCGTAACGGATTCTGAGAAAATTCCAGCTTATAGTTATAAGAGTAATATTATAATTTCTACCCGAAACAAAATAGATAGATGTACAGAAAGAGAAAGAGAGAGAGGGAGAAGGAGGGAAGGAAAAAAGGGAGAGAAAAGCGAAAATCAGGTGAGTTATAAAAGTCTAAAAGCGACTGCGATCGTCGGTTTACCAAATGCGTGCGGTCAGACGGTCGCCGCCCCGAGAAACACACTGTAATGTTGCGGACTCGTGGAGAAGTGTGCTCGCGTCCGCACTACGTATACCACCACGAAAACGATGTTTACGCTCGTTAGACATCGTTGCGATCGTGTATCAATGTTGCCTCCATCGAAAACCGCTTTTGAAGACGTCCGTGAATCATGTGTGTAAGTGTATGTGTGTGTGTGTGTGTGTGTGTGTGTGTGTGTGTGTATGCGCGAGTGTGCGTGTGAGTTCGCGATATTAATCACTACATATTAATTATTTATGATATTACGCTAGTGGTTTCAGAATCATACAGGTTTCAAAACGTTTACGTTTATAATAACATACAATTATTTAAATGTATTACGTTTTGCTGCACGTCAAACGATGTACCTCACGGTTTATTTTATTTATTGGCGTATTATATACGTATATTAATAACATCTACCCGATAAAACGCTTCCATAAAAAGTTCGGAGCTAATAATTTTTTCCAATCGTATTCGGATGCGAAACCGTATAATATACACGAAAGTTGCGTGACGAATATGGATTAAAAGCGGTCAATTTTAAAGTATTAAAGGGGTGATGGGTACTTCGAACGAATTTACCATACGTTTTCATTTTTTCTAACGATCAGTCAACAATTTAATATGTATTTCTAACAAATGTCCAATATTAATAAAAGCAGAGGCGTGTCAAAGCGGTTACTTAGGGGGAGTCACCCCTAAGAAAACATTTGAGTGGTAAATAGAGAGTTGATATAAGACTATTAATAACATTTTTTTATGCTATAAATTATTATTAAGTATATTAAGCTAGATCAGATACTAGTTGTTCAGTTAATACTTACTTGTAGAAGTTAAGATGTTATATTAAATATAAATAGAGAGACATTATCAATTTTCAAAAGGTGGATGGGTACCAAACATCCGTATTTGCCCATTGCGAATAAACCTGTCACAACGCCACTGATACATGAACCGTATAGTGATTTCGTCACCGTGTTATTGTGTTTTTAAAAATGTAAACTTGCGCATTATTAATTATTTTTATTGTGTTTGAAATGAAATATATTATCTACATACCGGTTTCCACGCCTTGGCAATACTAATTATTACCATTAGAAAAATTGTCAAGTTCAAACTTTTGAACGAACTTAAATAGTTCATGCGGGCGATTCGTAAAAATGTGTTATAGTTGGTTGAAGGTTAATTTGATAGCGCAATTTATAATATTATCATATTAATTTATTACTATAAAATTATTATAATGCTGTACTCATTACCCTCATGTTTACTAATATTGAAAAATAAGCGAACACCTTATAGCACGTCGAGATAATAAAAGAGATACCTAAATATGGCTTCATTATTGTTGATGGACAGATTAATATTTGTTAAAAACGACAGATTACCTTATCAGATACTCATAAGTTGTGGATCATTTAAGCCAATTATAAGAAGACTATAATCATTCATTAGATATTGGTTTAAAAAAATAAAAGATGAATACTAGTATGACACAGTACAAATTACGTTTTAAAGTTGATATTTTTAAGTACTATTATCCATCATTATTAAGGCATTAACCATAAAAGTAGATGTTCAGTAGGCCTCGATTTTGCTATTTTATTTGTTATTATAATTTTAACAATAGATTAAGAAAATTACGTAAATAACTATAAACAACTAATTTATTTGGTCGTCAGCATTTTGAAATTTGTTAATGTTTTCTATGAATTTGAAACTTGTCTCGAAAGGTAATATTATTTGTATTGATTTATTTGGTTCTTCGTATAAAATTTAAAATATATATATTCGTTTAAAATTTAATAAAGTTATAAATTCTCATTTTAAATTGCATCATAACTATTCCGTGCGTCAAAATTATTCCAAACAACAACATTCGTTTTTTATTTTAAATTTAGAACTGAAAAAAAATTACATTTAAAAGAACTATTAAGACAAAAGAAAGAACAAGTTGGTTTTAGTAATAAAAAATTAACAAATTATCATCTTAAACCCAACGGGCTTACAAAAATAAATGTGTGTAGTTGTTCTCGAACTCGATTCATTTCCATTCGTCTACGAAGTGGTTCAAAGTGAACGATCGCGTGGCATACTTCACACCATAAACATTTATGGTTATTTACAGACATACAGAAATAGGCAACTAATATTGGGTCTCGGGGACCAAAGGTGAACATACCTATAAAAACCAAATTACTAAACTAGTATTATTATAGACTATAATTAATAATGCTGTTATTATTAAATTATTACCAACACATAATTAACACATAGTTACACGGCACTTATGTTCTTCAATACCAAGATAAATTATTTGTTTTGATCAGATATTTATAGTTTTACATTATTAAATATTCATACACATTTACAATTTTCAATACTATTGTAGAACTTTAGAATAAAATTACCACAATGTAAAAATTAGGTTAATTTCATCGAACATTATTATTCATTACACAATGTCTTGTGGTTATAGGAAGTGAAAATTAAAAATAAATATATTTGCCGGTTGGCAGACTTTATTAAAGGGTAATCCGCACGGGGTCAATGGCAATGCTCGCCCGTTTTCAACACTGTAGTTTTGTTCGTCATTTACCTTCGCCCAGAGTATACGTGGATCCACAGCATTTTGACCAATTACTCGTGAAATAAATCCATAGAGCACGACAAAAATAAAACGAACTTTATAAGAAAAAAGTTACTTGAAATCGCGCGATTCCCATACGGAAAATTGGGTTGCCGCTTAATGCGTAGAGCAGTAACGATGAACAACTGCAGCTTAAGTATTAAAAATTGTAAACTGAATAAATTCTCATTTGTTTACATAAGTATAACAAATGTAAAATAAAATGTATGTTAACATTTACGTGTGAGTTCTCGGGAACCTATTATTAATGTTCCCAGTGATAAAGTGAACAAGGTCAAAACAAAAACTCGTCACTGACCATCAAATGATTTCGTAGAGCGATCGTTTGAATAATCATTAGAATAATTTAAAGTAATCGTTAGAACGATTACATTTAGTAAACAAAAACTGAGCACAGCAGTTTTTTTCTGTATTGATAAATATTCAAAAATACAAGTCAAAATATAGTATTTTTTTTTAAATAACAATAGAAATTACAAAAATGAAATGAGATCTTACATTAAAAATGTCATTAAAAAAGAAACCTAAGAGTAAAACGATTTGATGATGAAATCCTCCAATATTATTGTTTTACTTCAGCAGAAAATTAATTTAAAATCAATATATTTTATTTAATATTGGATAATGCAATTAAAATAACGTTTAATCAATTTAATCGACATAGGTATTCAAAATATTTGTAGTTATTCCACCGAATTCTTTGATTAATTTCACTGACGAAAAAACATTTTACTCTGCTAATAAATCGGTAGAATATTACGATTCTAATTTATCTAACGTTTTTGTTGATCAAATGTAATATTCTCTGAAATATGTATGTTATCACTGACGCTCCCCATAACAGTAACGTTTATTTTCCAAATGAGAATTAGTAAAAAATTATTTACGATGCATAACGTATGAAGAAAATGATTAAACGGACTTGTAGTTCTATCGGTTGAAAACGTTCGAGTACATCAGTTAAATTGAACAAAAATAATGAAAAATCGTTCAGAAAAAAAAAACGCGCTAACGAAATTGCAATTGAATATAATATGTATAAGTAATTTAAATTTAAACATAAACGTTTAGTAGCTATCGAATCGCATGAAATTTCATTAATTTGGCATAAAAACAGTCTTTAAATTTGAATCGGTGTATCTGCCATGTCTTATTTTAGCAGGCAGTACGACCCGAATTGGATTGTAGGAAAAATCAAAAGAGCAGTTTATGAATATGGGCATCTTACAAAAATATAATTTTCTTTATAGAATGATTGAATTTCTTACTGAGCATTTGAAATTTGTGTAATTTATTAATCTAACCTAGTACCTAATAAGTAATAATAATATAAGTTTACAATCTTTGCTACTTCGATAATTGATTTATCTATGAAATTTAAATTTAAATAGTGATATATGTATAATGAAAAAGATCCGTATTTTTTTTTAATATTTTACCACGCGATGGTCAAAATTCTAAAATATCAATATACAATTTATTTGGGAGAGAGTAAGTATTATAATCCAAATAAATTTAATACAATAAACTTTTCATTGTGTTTGGGTAGTAGATAAAAATACTTAGAATAAGCCCTGGTACCTGCATTCATATCGTTTGGAATCGGAAGCCGAAAAGCCCCTTTTTTAACCTTTGCTTACCTTTTCCCGTCTTTGATAATGAAACTAGACTGTAAAACCTTTTAACGAAAAAACATACACACAATATGCGCGTTTTTTAAGTTTATTTATAACTATCGTTGAAAACGTTAAATTTTATTCCGTCTAGCACGGGGTTAGATAGAGATATTTCGCTGTACTGTACAGTTGAGCCAGTGGCGTAATTTGGATGGTAAATAACCAGTGGAGGCTCGTGGCTTGGACAACATGACGATCTCACACCCCTTGCTATTATTTGTGAAAAGAAGAAAATTAATTATAATTGTAACGGTATATCCATTAATAATTTATAAAATTATTTAACATTTAAAATACTAAAATGGTGATTTTCTTGATTTTCACTGAAGTAAGGAAAAGTGGAGGGCTCTAGACAAGTATAACTCATTTCGGTGTGGTTAAAAAAAAAAATTTCTTGAGCCATTTTAGTTATCATAAACCTATAGAAAATATTACATAAATTCACTAAGTGAAATGATTTATTATCATTGCAGTGTTTCATTTGAATGGGATCCATAAGTCAACACTATATTATTTACAATAAGAGTACAGTTATTCAATTTTTTTATCTATGAATGTCAGTTCCACCACGTTAAATAATAATAACATAATTTACAATAAAAATGATTTATCAAAATAAAATATTTACTTTGTACTTGTATTTGAATATCAAATATTCCAAATGGTTATAGACAGACACCATTTGATTTCCAAGTTCGTGATGGTGGGTGATCGATACTTCAACCGCTACATCCAGGACTTTATTTACTTACTTTTAGACTGTATACAAGTCAGCTAACCTTAGCTAGCCTTAGCAATCCTTCTCATTAGCTCTTAGTAATTTTTTTTTCTTCTTTACTATACGATTTTGCTTCTATTGTTCGTTTCTTTGATTATGTGTTTTTCAAAAGTAAATTGTGCTAATAATTCGATATTTTAAAATATTATAGGTAATGGTTTATTTTGAATAAATATCTACGTAAGTAGATATTATTTGTGGTTACTAATTTTTTCAAACTCGATACTTGCAAGTATTTAAAAAAACATGTATATCCGTTAAAAAGATTAAATTTAATTTATGTGAAATATGTTGTTTTTTTTTGCTCACAAATACGATGTACGATTTATATCTACTAAATGTATATAGAATGTATATGTAAATAACTTGTCTAATAAATATCCTCGATAAAATACTAATAATTAATAAATACTCGCTTAGGATATTTATTAAATGGGTCGTTAAATAATTTATTTTATTTTTCTTTTAATTTATTTTCTCCGTCTAAATATACTGTTTATCAAATAACAAATATATCATTAAATTCGACAAATCACTGACCATACCAATAATTCTTGTTTATCCTGTTAATCTTACATTATTCTGTAATAAAATAATTTTACTAAAAATAAATAATTTCATATATATACAATATATACATGTAATACATATAATGATATATCAGTAATTTTATTCAAACCAATTTTTATTAGGTAAAAAACAATTTTTTATAACAGCTCATCTAAGGATGATTCATAAATTAGGTGGACCGAATCACTTCCGGGAAAATGAAATATCAAATGATTTAATCTAGATTCTTCTACAAAAGTTCTTAAATGGTTCTTAATTAATTTCAGATAATAGTACTTCTAGTTGACTCACAATATTAACATTAGTGATCGTAGAGTCTTGCTTGTTGATTGGGATGAACATATTCACAAAACATTTTGATAAAAAAAAGACGTCGACTTTTGAATTAGTCAACATCTTTCTTACAAATTATCTCTAATAAAACAAATGTATCTTCAGATTTAATTTCTCTTCTGTTGTAAACATAAAAAATAAATTTCAGAAGTAGGATTATCGTTGTTTATGCAAACGATTTTAAGCAATTCTACGATGACGACGTAAAAAAAAAATTATTTTTCAGAATAAACATTATATTTTTAAATATAATTACACCATTCTACCATTCTCATGTTTACGATAGTCCATATTTTCTAAAAAAGAAATCATATAATCATATGATTTTATAGAACAAACCAATAACATCTAATAAAGTAATATATGTTACGTTTTTATGTTGAATAAATGAAAAATTAGAAAAAGTTAAAACCTTTAAAATTTTAAACATAATACATTAATTCTCACAGCAAAACCAATAGAAATTAAGTATTTTGTTGGTGAGAAAATTTTGTTTCATATTTTTTATCGAATTTTCTTTTTCACATCAATGTATTTATTATTATTATATCGTAATATTCAAGGGTGTTGGTAAAGATTATTTATGGGGACGGTTAGATATACTTAGGTAAAAATTATTTTCATTATTACCTATTAATTTATTAGCTGGAATTTTGACAATAGAAAGTGTTGAAATCCAACCCTCTTACCAACGCCACTACCGATATTGTTATAATGATCATAACTCGTGTATCAATTTCTTTCTTAACCGATTTTCTTAATTAATCATAATTTTCAAAAAGATAATGTTTTTATAAGTAAAACATCTCCTCGTAAAATGTTATGCTGAATGGAACACTTATACGCAACGGGTTAGACACAATTAGTATTATTTATTTAAAAACGTTTTAAACAAAGAATCGCACGTATTCGTAATAGTTAAAAATAGCACACAAAACCCGTATATAATGCGCTTACGGGTTTATGAAGTGTTGAATATAAAAACAAAAACAGCAGGACCAGAAGTCGCACTGAGCCATCGAACCAGCTCGAATTCATCGGACGTAGTATGGGTCACAGTCAATCGGACCAAAAGCTCGTTTTCGTACGCATCTGCGCAACACGTGTACTGCAAGGGATCTGTTGGATTGATATTTCGAATAGTCAGTTTCATTGAACGGTCCGGTTCCGTACCATTCTCCGCAGACGTGCTGAACATAAAGTATCCGTTAAAGATCTTGTACACTTCTTCTTTATCTTCCGACCTGTGCGAATTTAAAAAAGAAAGAAGCTCGTTTCGTTAAATTGTAAGATGTTAATAAATGCTGCTAGTGTTCATAAAAGCAGTGGCAAATTACCTATGCAATTTTATTTTTCAAGTGTATATTATATTTATTTATACATCTATTAATATTATACGGTTTGTTTCAGCTATGAGTATACACCTTAAAGCAGAATATTTGTCTGAAATTGCATTGATAAATAAAATTTAAAAATCAAACCAGTAGTTAGTTATTTGGATTTAAATTTTAGGCGAAAAGTTATGGACATCTCGCAAGATAATGGTGCACTACTGCGCTCTTTTCATCTCAAAATATTATTATCTCGGTTTAATTTATTTTACGCCAACAAACATTAAATTCTTTTTAGAAATTTCGGAAAAATATTCTGTTTCGAAACACCAAGCTCAAAACATATACCGTCTTGTTCATACAGGTAAACGTTCGTAAAGTGACTCGAGAGAGTCCGCACGTGTTGACTTACAACATGGCGATTCAATAGAACCTATTTCGTTTTGTCGCATATCAATATTAGAACGAGATCACATTGTTAGCGTTATCAAACCTAACGGAGTGTTTTTGGCGATAATTTTCTTACGATTCTTACGAGCGCGTAAAATGATTAAAAAAATACAAACACTAGCGAACGAGTCGACCGACTGTAATATTAAAAGCTGTAACCGCATGAAATCGATTTCAACGAACGCGGAATGGCCGTGTTACGTGGTTTGTAGTCGGTAAAACGGAGCCTGCACGCGAAGCAGTGTTTCGCGGTCATAGGCACAACTAGAGCTTACATTTTTTTGGGGGGGAGGGAAGCTATAAGTACAGAGACGGAACGCCGTAAACTGCGCCCATGTTTATTAATTTCCTTACAGACAACATTCATCACCGATCACTGCCGTTGGTTTGGTAGAGATTTTGCCAAGAAGACTAGAATGAAGACGAGAATTTTCGCGTAAACCGAATTTTGATTTCCCGCGCACCCAAGAAAAGCGAAATTCGTAACACACCGAACAACAAAAGTCCAGCCCCGAAAATCATAATTTCACGCCGCGTCTAGATCGCAGGCGATTAGATCTGGTCTCGTTTCCGAACTCGGAAACGCCGGAACTCGGGGATAGAGAGTGGTGGACATAAACCGTTTTCAAGAGGCGTCGAGTCTCACCCACCCGTCCCGAGTTACGGTTCGATGTTGGCCGCGCGCGACGTAGCCCCGGGGGGCGTGCACTCACGTGATCGGCAGCCGGATGACCATCTCGTCGTGCTCGCTGTGTTCGGCCGGCGGCGGCGTGCGCACGTCGTGCTCGGCCTCGTAATGCTCGACCACAGTGTCTATGCGGTCGGCGCGGCCGCAGCCGGTCAACGGGCACGTATACGCGTTCCTGGTGCACCCGTCGCGGTAGTGGTCGCGCAACTGCTGCACGTCGAACCAGCGGCCGTCGCACGTCTCGCCGTCGCCACCCCGGCCGCCGAACGCCGCGGCGTACTTGCACTTGAGCAGCAGCGCGGACACCAGCGCGTCGAACACGTAATGCGCGTTGGACACGTACCGCTGCGTGCACAGGCACGTGCGCAGATACGCCGAGCACGGCCGGCACCCCACGTGGCCGCTCTCGCACAACCGGTACGGCGGCAGCGCCTGCGAGCCGCACGTGAAGCACGCCACCAAATGGTTGATGTCCGGGCAGATGTAATCCATGGCCACGGCTATTCGGGTTCGGCTCCCGTGCGTTCTGTTCGCGTTCCGTTCGCGTTCCGTTCGGTGTCCTCCGGTCACCCGCTACCGCTACTGCTCGTCGCCGACCGACCGCGTTCACTATACCTACTTCTACCGCTTTATTTAACACTTCTACTGCTATCGCCGCTACTGCTCTTAACTAATTCTATGGGTATTCACTAATTCTAATGCTAATATTAATTCTCTCGGTTTTTTTTACAAACGGCTCGACAACGCTCGTCCGGCAAAACCTTCGTCGTCGATATTGCAACAATAAAACCGTCGTGTTGTCCCGGGGGACCCGGTCGCGATCGCAACGGGCGATATAGTTCCCATCGTTACGCGTCGCCGTTACTGTCTCGGACCGGTGACATTTTACAGCGCTACGTTTTCGCCGCGCGTTCCGTTCGGGTACGGTACAACGACAGTCGAAGCGCAGCGCGGTAAGAAAAACGCGCGTCGTTTCGGAAACCGTCGCGCCGTGATGTCTTTACCGCGCGACGAGGACTTGCCGTTCGTACGCATCAAAATCGGTGATGAGCTGGCGCAACGGAATGTTATTATTTTTCACTCAAAACGTAATCGAAATTGTTGGTGTAACTTGTTAACACGTCAATCGTTTCTAACCATAGGTTTTTCAAGCGAAAACTGTCAAATGCTCGACGAAGATGTTTTAGATTGTTTTTTTTTTTTTGATCTATATTGATTACGGGGACAAGACAATAGATTCTTACTCGCGGAGCGAAACGAAAGTAGCAAATTCTGGGGAGATGGATATTTTGTAAAATGAAACCAGCATTCGAGGAGCCGAATAATATTCCACGACGTATATCATACGCCGTAGAATTTCGGTTCAAATCATTAACATTACGACAGTATGACAAAATAAACGTTCATGTGTTTTTCTAAGTCTACAACGCGCGGTAAAATGTCGCGTGATAAAACACGTGTATGCGCGTCCACGTCGTAAGGGATCTTCGAAGGGACTCCGGTCGGTTACAACCAAATTGGTATCCGGTCGCTGTACTGCGAAATATAACGTGGTCACCGGAACACATGTGTACGTACGTGGATTTTACGAGTAGGAAAAAAAAATAAAATTTTCGCGCATGTCCGCTACATTGATTGAGCGGTAACGAAATCTTAGGCCTTCTACACACGGAGCTACTCATTTGAATCTAAATACTGACACGAATCACTAACTAGTCCCTGTAGAGTCACTACCAATGTTATTCAATGGAACACAACAGACGGCGCTACTAGTTTCTAACCAGTTACTAACGCGTTAGTGATAAGTTCTGAGTGATTCAACTGTCGAGTCACTTTTGAGTTTTCTCACTTTAATATTTTGTTGCTCAACGAAGCTTTTTTTGTTTTACCTATTGTAAAAATTTGTTATTTGTGTAAAAATGAACGAACAAAAGATCGGTGATGAAAATTTTTTTCGAGGTATGGATGAACCCAAAACCTTCTATTTTTTTGATTTCTTCTGTAATAGTAGTATGCTGTTATTACTTCTTCATCACTAGAATCACTGTCAACATCCATGGTGTAGCAAAAAGATGACGAAAAACGTCCTTCATCCATAGTCACTCAGAACAAACTACAGATTTCGATCACGAGTAGGTATGTTATGAGTAGCCTCGTGTATGGGTCTGAGTCACTAATGCGTTAGTAACCGATTAGTAATTTCAATCACAAAACAGTTTAGTTTTTTTTAAATAGCTCCGTGTGTAGAAGGTCTTAGGCCCTAGTGCGATCATGCAACACCAACCCGACCTCTACGAGAAACTCTCCTCGAACTGTTTTTCTGTGCACCGCATAATATTAATCGACAATTTTGTCTCATATGATGATGAATATGGTTCGGTGGTTGTTACTTACAGATGTACCGTAAGCAATGTTGGAACCGATTGTTGGGTACCCAGTTTTAGGATCCGAGCCGGGGAGTTACCTCGCCCATTGATTGCAACACGCAAAGGACACAGCGAACACCAATTACCAACGTGTTTGAAAAGTACCGCGGCAAATAACAACGATTGACGGTTGACCAATTCTTTGCAACCGCTGCACCGCAAACGATAAACGCTCAATCACACAGGGACGTATTTAGACTTACTTCTAGGGGAAGGGGACTCAAATATTTTCTTTAATTCAAGCTCAAAATTTACATGTAAAATCTTTGGTAACATTTAAATCAGGTAAATCCTTAATATTTGTGGTTTTTTTTTTTTTTTTTAATCTAATACCGGATCCACTTAAAATCGACTTTTGTGTAGTTCTTTTTAACACCTGTGTTTTGAAAGTTACGCTTGTGTTTTATTTGATTTTTCACTAAACATGGATACTAAGTAACATTATAAAATGATTCACATTAAAAAAAAATTGAAATGTGTATCTCACATATGATCGATTCCTTAAATACGGATTCAGGAGGGTCGCTCCCTTCGCCCCCACTAATATACGTCCCTGCAAGCACATTAGTAGTCTATTCGCTGTTCGTGCCGCAACGGCTGCGTGATTGGGTCGACTTCATTTCCAGGCGAAATCGGTTAATCGACGAGCGACACGTGATCACTGATCCACCTGCGGACTGCGGTCAACAAAGCGGCGGTAACGTATTCGAGACAATTTTTCAGAGGGTAGATGGCAAAATCTATATATTCATTTTGACGTATTAGCATCAAAACGTTTGCTATGCTAAAAACATAAAATATTTTAATCGAGACGACTATCAAACAACAGAATAATAAAAATAAACCGTTAACACAGAATATTGACTGTTGATTATATCTGTAAATAATTGATTTTTCTTTGTTATCGATGATTATGACACAGAACGTGGTATTCGCGTTAGAAACGGTTTCATCATATTACTATTACTAAATATTTTCTATGTATGTATAGTACATAATTACTAATCACAAAATGAGGTACCGTATTTGGTTGGAACGCAAGATAGGCGAGTTGTCACAATAATGGAATCATAGCTTCCGCAAAATGTAAAAATAAAGTCTTGGGGAAATCGTGTTCGAATTCATATTTAATTTTCGTACTTGTTACATTTCATAGATAAATCGTATTTCAATTTTTATTTTAAAGGGTTTTTATAAAATTCTATATAAATAATAAAACACGGATTATCAAAAACAATCAATTTGATTGGAGGTAATCCAAAGCAAATTATTAATTTACAATAGGTACACAATTATTTTTATTTTTTTTTTCAAGGTTAGAATAAAGGATTCAATCATATATTAGGGTCACGCGATTCAACAATGTATTAAAACCCTTCAAAGACAACATACATAGATGATATGAAATTACAAAAAATCGTAATTGGTACACATTATCCATAGCAAAAAAAAAAAAAAATGTATGTATACATAAAAAATTTATAGAAAATTAATAATATAATATGAATGATTTTGACGAATTCTAAATTATCTAAATAGTATTGCGTGCAATGTTGTCGTTGCAAGTGTAATGGATCCTATATGAAAATAAATAGATTTTTTTTTTTTATAAACAATAAAAAACAATTTCTGATCAATAATAGTTTAGAAACAACTGTTTGTCCTTAAATGTATTTGAATTTATTAATGATAAAACGCTTCCGCTCGAATTATTTGTTGTTTTTCATAAGATTATTCACTATTATTTGGCTCTTTTAGTTTTCGCTCTTTATATGGGACACCAAAATATACGTCAATATTTTCATAACCACGGTCGTTTTAGTTCTTGTCCATTTAAATTATATTTGAAATAGAAAAATAGAAATAGACAATTGTAAGATCGGTTTCGTTTTATATTAAAAAATTTCAATCATTACTGCACATCGTCTACATTACCGGCGAGCACCCACCGAACGCGATCATTTCTCTGCGGACGGCTGCGCAATCCGGCACCAATTTTGGATTTCGTAATAATGTATACTTTGCTTTTATTTGTTTTTTTTTTTTTTTTTGACGTTATGGTCTATAATCAGGCTTCGAATATTAACCCGCACCCGGGCAAACTTAAGTTTGGCCGCCCCTCGCATGTAAATACTACATCAATATTTTTCGTTTATTTTTACATAAGCAATGCTGAAGTGCGCTTAATCCTGAGTTCATTAAATTTATTTATGTAAAGTTAACAATTTGTATTTGTATTTGATCAATACATTTGTAGCCAAGTAAACCGATACTAGTTTAAATAAAACCGAAAACTTTGTTGGAGTCTTATTTTTTACTACATTTAATTCGATATGAGTAGGTACTAGAAATTGTAATATTTTTTATTTTATTAATAAAAAAATTATCCATACCTAGTACAAGAATGTTAAATGCCACCCTAGGCGTAGGCCTATGTCGCTTGCCCCTTGAGTCGGGCCTGCCTGCAATCCAGGGCTTACTTTAAGGTTTATTTAAGAAGTGCGCAAAACACAACCCCTTCCCCATACTCTCAAAAATATTACTCCCTGTGTATGATTATAATAAACCTCGCTGCGGTCGGGCAATATTATTGTGATAATAAAATAATAATAACAATCTTAATAAACCTAATCTGATGATTGACGGACCCTCTACCTGCACTCGGCCATTAAGTCGATAACTACAATTTATTGTTAACTACAATTATTGTTAGAAATTTTATTAATAGATAGTATTTACAGCTGTGCATTTTTCATTGAGAGTTACACAAAATATGTTCAAACGCACGTTAAAATAAGCTCTGCTGCAATCGACGCAGGGTACTGCACCGTGCTTGCGCTGCTGTTAAGGTATACTTACACCCGTGCGCTTTTTCTTGCGTCAGACGCAGACGTACCACGTTTCTAGCCGGGCGGCTACATTTCAGTGACGCGCACCACGATGGCACGATCTTCCGCGCTCGATGGGATTCCGTTCAACGCACCGTCGTTTTTTTTTTTTTCGTATTGACTTCGAACGATTAAATAACACTGACCAAAACCGCGGACAACATAGTCGATACGAAAA